CCAGGTTGGTCTTGAACTCCTGACCTTGTGATCCACCCACTTCAGCCTCCCAAAATGCTGGGATTACAGGAGTGAGTACCACACCCAGCCTCCTTCCATATTCTTTTGCCACTATCCTTCCATTTTTTGAGGGGGTGGGGAGGACTATTCCCCTATTTCTAGTCCATGTGATTTGGGAAAGGCTGACCCTCCCTGGGCAATCAGATCAACATGGTAATTAAATCAGAAATGGGCATGTGACCCAACCTAGGCCCATGAAAGTCATCCCTGCACTTTTGCTGGAACTGCTGAAAATGAAGTGCTTTCTTTTCATTGGGATAGCTACTTGCAAGGCAGCAAGCAACATGGAATTTCAGGGGCCATCTTTGCTGCTCTCCTGAAAGAGCTGCCTGAAAAATGGAGCCACCATGGAAGACACAAAGGAACAGAATGAGTCTTGGTTGATATTAGCTGACCCCTGATCCCATGGAGCCAGAAGCCATCTACTCATGAACACTTTTAGTTATGAGAGCCAAATAATTCGCTGCCTTGCTGGATTGAGTTAGGTTTCAGCCACTTACCGTAAAGAGAGTCCTGCCTCATATCCCTTCGTTTTAGGATTAGGTCCCACCTCCTAGGGCTTTAGCGCTGTAAAAAGGATAAAGCAAACCCGGGTAGTGCTGAGCTAGCCAGTCTCCTGGCTAAGTGTGCAGAGAACCCTGGAATTACTACGACCCTGGTCTGATAAGTAGCCTTGCCTGCTGCTTACCATGCAGCCATAGGGGTATTACTTCCCTGAGCCCTGAGGCACTATACCTCTTTTTAAAAATAATTTTTAGGGCCAGGCATGGTGGCTCATGCCTATAATCCCAGCCCTTTGGGAGGCTGAGGTGGGTGGATCACCTGAGGTCAGGAGTTCAATACCAGCCTGGCCAAGATGGTGAAACCCTGTCTCTACTACAAAAATTTGCTGTGCCTGGTGGTGGACACCAGTAGTCCCAGCTACTTGGGAGGCTGAGGCAGGAGCATTGCTTGAACCCAGGAGGTGGAAGTTGCAGTGAGCTGAGATTGCGACACTGCACTCCAGCCTGGTGACAGAGTGAGACGTTGTCTCCAAAAAAAAAAAAAAAAAAAGATTTTTATTTAGGTCAGATGTGGTGGTTCACACCTGTAATCCCAGCACTTTGGGAGGCCGAGGCAGGCAGATTACTTGAGGTCAGGAGTTTGAGACTAGCCTGGCCAAAATGGCAAAACTCTGTCTCTACTAAAAATATAAAATTAGCTGGGTGTGGTGCCTCACTCCTGTAATCTTAGCTACTTGGGAGGCTGAGGCATGAGAATCACTTGAGCCTGGGAAGTGGAGGTTGCAGTGAGCTGAGATTGGCTACTGCACTCCAGCCACGGCGACAGAGTGAGACTTTGAAAAAAATCGAAGATTTTTATTTAAAAAATGTTTTATAGAGATGGCATCTTGCTATGTTGCCCAGGCTGGTCTGAAACTCCTAGCAGCTCCAGGATTATAGATGTGAGCCACTGTGCTTAGCCAGTACCATACTTGTATTCCTTGCCAATGCTTGCTTTGTTTTGTATTTTCTAGTGCATGCTTGAGTGTGAGTGTATGTGTGTGTGTGAGCATGTGTGTAAATGTGTGTGTGTGTGTTCCCTTTACTCTTAACTCGCAGGGTCATTGCAAACATCAAGTGGGATAATGCAGACACAGCACTCAGCCCAGTGCCTGGCACACACTGTGAGTGCTCTCTTCCTTCCCCTTTTCTCCTCCTGATTCAGAAAATGAATTAAGGATCCGCAATGTGTTCCAATTTTCAATGCCCTCGATAAATAATAGGGAGTTGGAGTACTGTTGGCAGAAATTTGCACTAGTTTTAATTAATTTGATCTGTTTAGAGTAAGATATTTCAAAGTCACTGAATAAATTTATGTCACGTATGTTTATGTACATCAGTATTCTTCCTGAGAGCTGACAGCCTTAGTCCTTGTTTTGTTCCCTGATGCTGCAGCAGAGGCCAAATGTGTCTTGATTTTTTTTTTTTTTTTTTTTTTTGAGACGGAGTTTCGCTCTTGTTGCCCAGGCTGGAGTGCAATGGCGCGATCTTGGCTCACTGCAGCCTCCACCTCCTGGGTTCAGGCAATTCTCCTGCCTCAGCCTCCTGAGTAGCTGGGATTACAGGCACGCGCCACCACGCCCAGCTAATTTTTGTATTTTTAGTAGAGACGGGGTTTCACTATGTTGACCAGGATGGTCTCGATCTATCGACCTCGTGATCCACCCGCCTCGGCCTCCCAAAGTACTGGGATTACAGGCTTGAGCCACCGCTCCCGGCTTGATTTTTTGAGTGATGTCTGCCAGCTCTCTAAGTGTCACAGTAGATGAGGCCTCCATGCGAGCAGGTGCCAAGGGTGAGTGTGGCCAGTCAGCATCTGCAAGCCCATTGTGTCTATTCTCTTTGTTTTTGTAATACATTTTATTCTTAAGTTATGAATATGTTTATAAGTTTATTAATACATTTAATATAAGTTTATATTTGTAAATATAAACTTTACAAAGCATAAAGTTTATATGCATAAACTTTAAATATGTGTTGATTTATCCATATAAGTTTTTGTTACTTACATGGATAAGGCAAAACACGTAGAGTATAAAAAATATTAATGTTCTTCCCCATTTTACCCCCACCCTCTGAAGTAAACATTATAACCAGCTTCATGTGTATCCCTCTACATTTTTTATATACTACACATTTTCCCACATTTTCCCACCTATATACATTTTCCTACTTTCTTTTTTACATGTGCAAATATATAAACATACATATTTACTCATAGGATACCCCTTTTAATTTTCTAAAGCAAAATAAGATCATATTCTGTACCTTGTGCCCTTCCTTCCTTCCTTCGTTCCTTCGTTCATTCCTTCCTTCCTTTTTTCTTTCTTTTTCTTTTTCTCTTTCTTTCTTTTCCTTTCTTTCTTTTCCCTTTTCTTTTCTTTTTTCCTTCTTCTGGCTCTGTCACCCAGGCTAGAGTGCAGTGACACAATCATAGCTCACTGCAGCCTCGACCTCCTGGGCTGAAGTGATACTCCTGCCTCTGCCTCCAAAAGTACAGGGATTACAGGAGTGAGCCACTGTGCCCACCCTCTTTTACCTTTTTTAAAACCTAATAATCCTGTGCCTCTTTTTGGGTCAATGTAGGTAGATCTAACTCCTTCTTCATAGTTGCTTGTCTTCCATTGTATGATTGTACCGTGATTGATTTATTTAACTGATCTATCAATGGATTTTTCAGGTCCTTCTTAGCTTTTTGTAATTACACATAATGCTGACATAAATACGCTTGCCAATATATATATGGTTTTTTTTTTTTTTATCAAGGAAACATTTGGTTATTCTACTCTCTTGCCCATGTGTCACATATGAAGGACACTTACTACACCAACCCTTACTCTGTCAGTCTGCCACATGAGAAGGCATCCTTTCAACTCCCTTTCCCATGGCATGTTTTTAGCAGAGCCTTGTTGGGAAAGACACCACTTTATAAATGTAGAACCTGGGCCCAAATGTAAGACCAGCTTCGCTCCAGATCTAGCCCGGCTCAGTGATTTCTCTGCCCCTCCCATTCTCCCTGCCTCATGTGTCCAGAGCATCTCGGCTGCCTCCATGGTCAGTGACAAGCTGTAATTGGAGCGAAAGGGCTTTGAAGTTCCCATAAATGAGATAATAAATCTCTGCTCTCCAGGGATGAAGGGAAGTGTCTGTGCCTACTGAATGGCCGCGACAGTGCTGTGTATATAGTAACTACTTAATTAATATGAAATAAGAACAATAAATCCGGTGGTTAAAGGGATCCCTTTGAAGTTCAGGTCAACTCTGAGCCATCTGAGAAGAATGAACGGAATGGGTAATTGAAATTCATCGATAATCCCCAAACCTCAACTTAACTAGTTAATAGGGTTAGGCTCTTTACCTATTAAACCCTTTGAGATACTCAATTAGAGAACTGCTAAAATAAATTACCTCCTTTCATTTATTTTTTCATTGTTGTGGGGCACATGAAATTGGGCCGTGAAATGGCCATCAGGAAGGTGGCAGGAGAACGAGTCAGGAGTCCTATGTGAGACATCCGCAAACCTCTCAGAAGCAGCTTCTGAATCACACAGCATCAAGGCTGCCAAAGTACCTGGCCAATTTTGGATCTAGAGACCTAAGAATAGGTCTCCCTGTGGACTCCTTCTGAACTGGGTGCGGCAAGGCTCTAGGAAAATAGGTCAAATGACTCTCGGTCTAGAACCGTCTGGCCAGAGATGCCCCAACTTTTCCTTTTGAGCTATTCATCAAATCTAGCCTTTAGGACGTGAAGTCAGGGTTTCATTTTACGGGAGGATCTGGGTGCATTTTAGTTAAAAGAAGTGATGTCATCACATCCCTGCTGAGAAAATGAAAAAGGACCCACTCTGTGCTGACACACTGAGTCCTGGGCAGGGAATTCCAACAGATACCTGGGTCCACAACTGGCTTTTCTACCAGTCGCTCTGTGACTCTAGGACCATTGTGTCAGCTTTCTCTGCCATAGTTCCTCCCTCTGCAGAACAAAGGGTTTGAAATGCAGGATTGTAAGATTGTGGCCATCTCTGACTCTGAGAACAACCCTGTGAGCCTGAAGAATTCAGCACTGCTGCTCCATAGGGGGTTTCAGCAGGAAGCGGGCACAGATGGCTTTCTCTGGAACGTGTTCAGAAATGTGGTGTGTGATGTACGGTGTGAATGAAGCGTGGTGCCCTTTAAACACAGCTTCCCCCTGGGAGTGCTCTGAGCTCCCCAAGCTCTCTGGCTCTCATTCACATTCCACTGTCACTCTGGGTACAGGCAGCCCTCACGCGCTTGTGCACTGAGCACACACAGCCCCCCCACCCCGATTGACACACAGCTGGTGACTCACAACTGATACAATCATTACACACGCGGGATGACTCAGAGGGGACCTCACACACATGGACTCACGCTCACCGTGACGTGTAGAAGTGGCTGTGCCCACAGTGTCAGGCACCCCCACAGCAGCTCGCCGGCGGCGTCTGCAAATGATTTGCATTCTTGGCTCTTTGGAACTGCCTGTTCTTTGTCTTTCTGTTCACTGCTCAACCCTTTCCTTCCCTTCTGTCCCAAACTTGGCTGGTTTTAGTCTCTTGCTCCCAAGCTCCCTCAGCCTGTTTCTTGGACTAACTCAGGCAATCTCTGAGGCTCCTGCCAACTCCAAGGTTGCTTCTAATCAACTCCTCAGCTGGGAGGAGTCCCTTCCCCAGGGGGTCTTGTTCCCTCCCCAACCTGAGCATCTCTTTCTGTCTTCTTCAGGAAGATCTGGAATATCTTTGCCATCTGAGCCAGCCCCTTTCACAAGACCAGGGGCACCCAGAGCCAGTCACATGATAGACAGTGCAGGCGGCTTCTGGAGGGTGGTCTTCAGTGTCTTTGAGGATGCCCTTTCTCTCTCTGGCAGCCTGGGCAGATGGAAGTGTTGGGGTTCTTGGAAAAACATCTCTGGGAGTTGAGCAGAACCAGCTGTTTCTAGAGAAGCAGAGAATAAAGATGCTGCACATCCTAGCCATAATGGGCCGGGGGCCTTGGCTCTCGGGGGGACCTATTTCAGAGTGGGAACCAGGGTGGGGGAGGCAGTGTGGAGGAGACAGAGGCTGGTGTCCACGGCTGCTGGCTGAGGTCTGATGGGAAGATGGGGAGCATGTCCTGGAGCGGCACTTCCTTATAATTGATCTGCTGCTGTTGGATTTAAGGTTACGTTGCCTAGAATAACTCCTGTTTTTCCTCTTTCCCCGGGGGAGCCTTCACACGAAAGAGGGAGTGTGGCAGAGTGTGCTGTGAAGAGCACAGGCCAGGGGCAGAGGCGTGGGTGGTCTCTGCTAGTAGCTCTGTGGTCCTGGGCGTGCCATGAACCATTTGAGTCTCTCCGCTTCCTTGGCTGTCAAATGTTCTAATAGCACCTTTCTGTGTCCTCTGAAGATGTGGTGGCGCAGATCAGGTGAGCTAGTAGACATGACAGTGCTTTGACAAATTGAAAGTGACACACAAATAAAAGTGAGAATTTGAACAGCAGTGAGGAGATGGTGGACGTGCTGCCCACGGTGGGGCCTGAGGGTCTTTGAGGGAGACCTGCAGATTCCTCTCCTGAACATGGGGTAAAGTCCCTGCTGGGGCCACAGAGCTGGTACGGGGCATCCTCGACTCCCGCACCAAAGAGGCCCTCACAAGGACTTGCTAGGCCCCTGCTCTGGACCCAGATGGCATTGAGCTGAGTGTTTTCCTGGAGAGAGGAGAAGGGGGCTTTCCATGTGGATTTTCCCTAAGTATAGACGCTGGCCCAGCAATGCCAACAACTGAGACACCCTGTGCCTAGAAACATGGACACTGAACTTCCGGCTGGCTGCTTATAGCTTGATTATATGCCCTTTTCAACTCTGAAACTTTTAGAGTCTGGCAATCCTTGAGAGCATTTATTTCCTCTGACTTGGGTGAGAGCTTTACCTTTGACCTCATTCTAGCCATCTGAAGGACTAGAATCCAGAGGAATGGCCTTGCTTTAGCAGACCTGAGTCTTCATCTCTTTGCCTCAAGTCCTTGCTCTGTGAGTTATCAGCTCTCCCTGCAACTTCAAATCTGGAAAAGGAGCCAGGCACCGTGGCTCACACCTGTAATCCCAGCACTTTGGGTGGCCAAGGTGGGTGGATCACCTGAGGTCAGGAGTTCCAGACCACGTGGTAAAACCCGATCTCTACTAAAAATATACAAATTAGCTGGGTGTGGTGGCTTGTGCCTGTAATCCCAGCTACTCAGGAGGCTGAGGCAGGAGAATTGTTTGAACCCTGGAAAAGCTGGAAAAGGCTTCCTCAGCAAACAGACTTACAAAAATTTCCAGTTAGTTCTTTCTTTACGATTGGTCTCCTGCTTTTGGATTTAAGGCTACTTTGCCAAGTTCCTGCTCTTAACTCTCAGTTAAATATTTAACATACATAGCATGTACTATGCCTCAGACACAGTTCTAAGCATTTTTCTACAGTATGAATTAATTTTCACAAAACCCTTACCGAGTAGGCATGCTCATTCCCATTTTGCTTTGCAGGACTTGGGGCAGATTAGCCTTCAATGACGGGGCATAGAATTCAACCCAGGTCCTGCCTGGGGAAATTAGCCTGTGACCCCAGCTTTCTTCTGCCCACTGGTGGGTGGTGATTCCAATAGCACCATATGCTTCTAATGGTTTTCTTGAGAGCAGCAGGAATTCCTGATCTAGTGGCAAGAAGGAGAAATGAAGCAAGGCCAGAACTCTGCCCAATGCCTTTGTTCAGGCTCAGCTCCACTCAGGACACGCATGTGCGTTCTCATCCCCCAGGTTGGTCTCTTCCTTGACTCCTTCAAGAGCCGAGTCTAGAAGAGAATGGAGCCACTCTTTCCCTAACCGTACTCTCCCCCCTCCCCTCCCTGGGGAAGTCCCGATGAGCCATTGTTCTCCCAACCTCAGCTATTGGGCCTCTCTTGGCAAGGACCTAGCGGCGTCTCTTATTTACCCATTAACAATTAAGCTCCAGGCATTTGACATATAAACACAGAAAACATCAGCATCATTACAGCAAAGATTTCAAAAGCTCTTTGGCAGGGAAGGGCTTGAATATTTACTTAACAAAGGAATTCCTTACGTTGGTTTTAAGAAAGAATTCACAATAGGATTTAACAAGCCAGCTTCTCCAGTAAATAAAAAACATTCTTTTACTCATCCAGAATATGATTTGTGTTTTTAAAAACGTGGCTCACACACAGCTTTTCAAGAGAACACTTGCGGCATTTTCCCTGAGAGCTCTGTTCCCACGTTATCTTTCAGTGTTTTCACTTGTTGAACTGGTCCCTCATTAAGCGGAGAGAGATAATAGATTCCGGGCAGGGCCGGGTGGGTGTTGTGCCTTAGGATGTAAGATTCCACCCTTAGAGACTCTTTCGTTTCAAGTTTGATTTCTACAGATGGGCTTCTTTTATTATACAAGAAGGGTGTTGCTAAGCATATCTTCCATGACTAGAGGTACTTAAGCCAGTCTGTTAGAGTACTGGGGACTTGGGAAGAGGAGCGGGGAAGGGGAGTAAGAACACAGTTAAGTTTATTGGGGGAAAGAAGGGATAGTCGGTGGGGCAAGGTGGCTCATGCCGGTTATCCCAGCACTTTGGGAGGCCAAGGAATGATGTCAGGAGTTCGAGAACAGCCTGATGAAACTCTCTCTCTCTCTCTCTCTCTCTCTTTCTCTCTCTCTCTCTCTCTACCGCCCCCCATATATATATATAAAAGAAGGGATAGTCATTTCTTCACTTGTTTGTTAATAATGACTCATATTCCTACCATTGCCAGACATTTGGAATATAAATGTAAATAAGAAAATGGGATAGTTAAGAGCTGGGTGCAGCGGCTCACACCTGTAATCCCAGCACTTTGGGAGGCCTAGGAGTTGGATTACCTGAGGTTGGGAGTTCAAGACCAGCCTGACCAACATGGAGAAACCCCGTCTCTACTAAAAATACAAAAAAAAATGAGCTGAGCGTGGTGATGGGTGCCTGTAATCCCAGTACTCGGGAGGCTGAGGTAGGAGAATTGCTTGAACCTGGGAGATGGAGGTTTCCGTGAGCCAAGACAGCGCCATGGCACCCCAGCCTGGGCTACAGATAGAGACTCCATATCAAAAACAAAAACAAAAACAAAAACAAAACAAAAAACCAATCAAGGCAGATAAATAAACTACTCACTTAAGCAAGGTAAAAAGTCCAGATGGAGTACCCCATGAAATCAATTAGATATGGCGACAGTGTTGGAGAAGGCACCACAGAGTTGCCAATGGAGTTTCCAAGGATGAGAATTAATAACAATTTTTAAAAGGGTTGGGTGCGATAGCTCATGCCTGTAATCCTAGCACTGTGGGAGGCTGAGGTGTGAGGATTGCTTGAGGCCAGAATTCCAGACCAGGCTGGGCAACATAGTGAGCCTCCTTTCTACAAAAATTTAAAAATTAGCTGGGTGTGGTGGTGGGCTCCTGCAGTCCCAGCTACTCAGAAGCTGACTGAGAGGATTGCTTGAGCCCAGGAGGTCAAGGCTGCAGTGAGCTCTGATCGTGCCACTGCACTCCAGCGTGGGTGATAGAGGGAGACCCTGTATCTATAAAAAAGAAAAGAAAAGAAAGAAAGAAAAGAAAAAACAAGAACAATCCTAACACTTGTATTTGCTATGTGCTCAGCATTGTATAATACTAAGCATCTTGCATTATAACTCGTATAGTCTTCACAAAAATATAAGGAAAGTGCTATTGCTATCCTTACTCTACAGAATAGCAAACAGGCTCATAGAAGTTAGGTAGGTAATTCGCTAAAGCCCAGTAGATAGTGAGTGGTAGAAATGGGAGAAAAACCCAGGCTTTCCAGCTCCAGAGCTCATGGTTAGTGCTCTTAACCACTATGATGTATTTTTGTATACAGAGGCAATTATTGTTTTGACTATGAAATATTTAAAATAAGAAAAATGCAAAGAATAACATAATGAAGGTCCATGAATCATTACTAAATTCCAATATTTTGCCTTGCTTCATTTTTCTTTTCTTTTCTTTTTTTTTTTTTTTGAGATGGAGTTTTACTCTTGTTGCCCAGGCTGGGGTGCAATGGCATGGTCTCAGCTCACTGCAACCTCTACCTCCATGGTTCATGTGATTCTTTCACCTCAGCCTCCCAAGTAGCTGGGATTACAGGTGCTCACCAACATGCCTGGCTAATTTTGTATTTTTAGTAGAGATGGGGTTTCACTATGTTGGCCAGGCTGGTCTCAAACTCCTGACCTCAAGTTATCTGCCCGCCTCAGCCTCCCAAAGTGCTGGGATTACAGGTGTGAGGCACCATGCCCAGCCCATTTTTCTTAAAAAGAAAAGAAGTTACAGACACAATGGAAATTCCCATGTGTATTGTACCCCGAGACAACTATCTTAAATTCCTGTTTCTGTTTTCCGGGCTATATTTATACTATTAAAGCATATGTAGAAGTCTAACAATATAAGCTGGGTACGGTGGCTCAAGCCTGTAATCCCAGCACTTTGGGAGGCTGAGGCGGGTGGATCACAAGGTCAAGAGATCAAGACCATCCTGGTCAACAGGGTGAAACCCCGTCTCTACTAAAAATACAAAAAGTTAGCTGGGCATGGTGGTGCGTGCCTGTAATCCCAGCTACTCAGGAGGCTGAGACAGGAGAATTACCTGAACCCAGGAGGCAGAGGTTGCAGTGAGCCGAGATCACGCCATTGCA